GATACTGGTGTGTCAGCTTGATGTAGGAATTATTTCAGTTATATCCTTGTTTGTTAGCTTGATGTAGGGAGGTATTTCAGTTATATACTGGTGTGTCAGAAACGATATGGAGAGTATTTCAGTTTGTATCCTTGTTTGTCAGTTTGATGTGGAATTACTTGTTATATACTGGTTTGTCAGCTTGATGTAGAAGTATTTCCAGTTTATATCCTGGTGTGTCAGCTTGATGTGGGAGTATTTCAGTTATATCCTTGTTTGTTAGCTTGCTTGATGTGGGAGTATTTCAGTGATATACTGGTGTGTCAGCTTGATGTGGGAGTATTTCAGTTATAATACAGTGTGCTAACAATTATCATGGGAATCACGATTATCAGGACTGCAATATGCAACTCTGGTAGACAAATGAGCCACTCCTAGTGAGGTTTGACATAAACACAAGAAAACACAAACTACAAGCAGGTAACTTCTTCCATCCTTTATTTCAACCATTTAACACACAGCACTATGGCTGATGATGGCAGGGCTTCGATAACAGAACAACCATCACTGACTGCCTCATCCTCAATGATTCCCAGAATGTACGGCTTCTTTTGACTACAGAGGGAATTTACTTAGAGAATCCAGAGACACCATCGTATCTTCCTCATAAGATGTTCATCACTTGAGTAACCGAGAAGAGTCAACATTGTAATAACCTTGACTTGAAAGTTTATTACTCTTCTCAATATACATGAATGAACAGCCATGGATATAATGCTCAGAACTTAAATAAATGCGTTAAGCTTTGTCTGGGTTGTATCCTGGGGCATACTTCAAATCCGGAATCTGCCAAAATAAAATATCAATGACTGACAAATTCTACCATCCGCGCACTCTGGAAATTCGGCTGTAGCTCACACAGCAATTCTATGTGTTCTGTTTACTTTTTAAACCAACTGAAAAGCTAATTAAGAGTCTTGTTAAATGATGTCCCCATTGAAAAACTTCTAGTTTTCAAACTATGTTATTGTACACATTATTAAAAGCTTCCTGCAGCACTAGTTAGTTGGTTTGTTATTGATGCTGCTGCACTCAGCAATATTCAAACTATATGGCAGTGGTCTGCAAATAACTAGAATCTAAAGCAATCCATTGATCAACAACATGAGCATCAATCCTACACGAATTGAGATACAAATGACATGTGTCAACCAAGTCAGCGACCCTGACCACCGATCATGTTAGTTGCTTCTTCACGACAAGCATGGGTTGCTGAAGACCAATTCTAACCGCATCTTCAGGCGTCTCCTGCAAGATACTTGTCTTGAGGGCTCATAAGCTAATCTTGATCCAAATGTCACTGTGGCGCCAGTCCCATACAATACATTGTGCTATACATACACTATCAACCAGCAGGATAAACTCCCTCAATGTCACTGTAAAGCCAGTCCCCATACAATACATTTGTGCTATACATACACTATCAACCAGCAGGATATACTCCCTCCAATATCACTGTGAGCCAGTCCCATACAATACATTGTGCTATACATACACTATCAACCAGCGGGATAAACTCCCTCAAGTCGTCACGCTGACCCATCATCGGGTGCATCCACGGTGCGGTATCTGGAACAGGTTCTCGATCTGCCACTTGGGCTGACATCCTGGAACAAAGCAGGTATTGTCATACTTCGCGTCGAAAACACTAGACTGAAAGAAGAAGGCATCAGAAATGTTGACACCTTGCTGGAATAAAATTACAGACCACAACGACCACCCAGTGGATGAGGAACTGGAACCCACAACTTGGCGGTGAACAGGTCAAAGTACTTCATAGAACATGGAGACATGTAATTTTTTGATTAAAATTGATATTTTATACTTATCCTGACTCATGCTTAATTGCTTGTCTCTTTCTTCTTCGCGAATGATAGTGAAACATTTGAATCCCTTTTGAAGCTCCCTTACTGCAAAAGCGGGACGTAAAATCCACTCACCCAGTGTTATCACCCTTGTGACTCTTTTGGCAGGAAAATCGTCACATGATCAGACATGCCCCTCACTCTCTCCTGAATAAAGCCCGACACCTGGTTTTAGAGGGAATCCAGAGTGCCATGAGGGAGGTTGGGAGAGAGTTTACCTCATGAGTCAGGATAAATTATAAAATATCAATTTTAATAAAGAAATTACATATTTTCCTTATCCTGACTCATCTAATTAAGTAGAATCCACCAGAAACTGTGGTGGGTCAAGCCACTCTGGATTCCATGCTGATTTACACCCCTGCATACCCCCTGGGGAACTTCTTATAGTACTATGCTGATCCTTCCTTCCAGCTTCCTCTGATGAGGTTTGGGGGACCACAACTTGTCAGATTTCGGAACCGCTTCTCCTGACAGTAACAGTGGATTTACACTACTCCATGATTTGATTCATCAATGGAAGTGACCGTGAAATGGTAGCGGAGAAAGTAGTGCTGAGATATCATTTGTTGTATCTTGAATAGCGCTCCTCTGGGATGACTATGCGATTCGATGGTGATGAACCGTATTCCTAGTAATTGCAGATCCTGTGTAGGTTCTAGTTCGATTTGAGGAGATTTACTAGCCATCTAGTTGTGTGAGTAGCCTGATTGGCAAGTCTAGTTGCAGTCTGAAGTTGACTGGGATCTTGATGAGCTTGAATCCCGTCGTCCAGGTAAAAGCGCACTCGTAGACCTAGATGATGTAGATAAGTGATGATTGGCTTTGTCACTTGAGTAAACAACCAGGGGCCGGCTTGATATTCCAAATGGTAGCACCTTCCAATGGAAGTGGCGATCCGTTGAAGAGGAATCGTAGAGTATTTCCCTTGAGTCGGATGTATCGGGGATGTGAAGATCATCCTGTAGATCTATGCTGGTGAGGTAGTCTAATGGGAATGCAGAGTTGTGCGCCCAATTGAGGCAGATGTATCATTCTGAACTTTGCGTGGCTGGGTAGATAATCTTGATTGAATTTCCTCATGTTGTATATAAATTCGGACTTTTTCCTTGGAATTTTTCTTTGGTACTAAGAAGATTGGGGAGTAAAAGCGGGTGTGGCCGAACTCCTGTTTTATTTCTTCGATAAGCCTCCTTCTCGGAGTAGAGTTGTGATGGCGTGGAGTAGGTTCTCCCCTCTGGAATTAGGCAGCATAGTTGTGGGCCAGAGAGTTGCTTGTCAATGGTGGTACTGCTTGTAGTTGTATCTTGTATCCTCTGCGTAGGATCTGGGATACGTAGTCATCCTGAAAAGAATTCCCCAATTCTTCCAGTAGCGTTGTAGACGTCCACCCACTGTTGAAGGTTGTATGGGAGCGGCTGGGAATGAGGAAGACTCCAGTCGTTCGAACCCGAATCCTTCAGCGTCTAGAAGTTCCTGGCACCTCTGGGTGCCCTGCCTCTTCGGGGTTACCTCTGGGAGCTCCGGTTGGTAGGCGCTGAAAAGAATCCTTGCCTCCTCTGGAACTGCGCGTATTTCTTTTCCCAAAGCTCTTTGTGTTCCTGTAAACTTGACTTGCCAGAGAACAAGCGTTACGAGGTCAGACGGTGATAACACTCCAGTGTGTCGATGGACTTGATCATCATTACCTCTCTTGACTCTTTTCAGCATTTACTTCCTTGGCCATGTCCTCAGTTTCCCCTCTTGAAGAGATAAATGGTGCGACCACGGAGCTCTGTATAGTGACTTGATGACAATTGTCACTCCTCCATTGCAGGAAGATAGTAATCCTTGTCTTCTTAATAGTGTCAGTCCTGCTGATGTAGTACAGATGTTCGGACATGACCTGATGATGGTTCTTCTGAGTTAGTAATGCGAGGTAGATCATTCTATCTTCTTCGAGGAGTCGAGGTCCTAAACTTCAGCAATGAGGGTTTCTCTTCACCTGGCTAGGCCAAAAGAGCGTGACGTCCTGGTAGTTGTGTCTAGTTGTGCCAACTTCTTATCTTCCACTTTGTAAGTCCTGGCTCGAGAGTGCGTTGATGATCTTGTAATTCCCATCTATCTCTGGGGCCTTCATTGAAGGGTTCCATTTGGTGAAGAGAGAACTTCTTAGCGTTGAATGGTGGGGCAGCTCTGACTCTGAAACTTCGTTGCTATCCTGAAGGCTGTGCTGAGGTTTCCTGGTACATCTGCGACAGGATCGATGGGTGGAAGAGTAAGTGTGTCGAAGTCCTCGTTAGACATCCTGCACGTGGTCGCTTCATTATCCTCTTTAGAAGGTGATGTGAGTTCTAGTCCATTTGCCATCCAAGATTTAATTTCTGGATCGAGGAAAATCACGATTCCCCATCATCTTTGGATTTAGAGGCTTCTAGTTCTGGAGATGGTTGCCATTCTGTCTCTTTCCTGCATGGAGATCTGCGTGGAGACCTTCCGTGGAGACCTGTGTAGAGACCTGCATGGAGACCACCGGTGGGGAGACCTGCTGACAGATTAGGAAAAAGGATCCTCCTTGGAGTCTTGAGATGTATCTCTGTGCCTTCAGCGAAGGTGTAGATTCTCTTCTATGGTGCCTTCGGCAGAAGGCTCCCTGATAACTGTCCATATCAGAGAAGGATGATCTCACGATACTCGGTGAGCGTCTGGTTCTGTTCCTTGTTTTGTTTTTTTGTTTTAAACATATTTTATTCATTCAAAGAAAAGTTGGGCACAAGTTATCCAACTTAGAAAAGCCCTCTCCAGATAATTACACAATTCATCTTACAACAAAGTACACACAAGTGACAGACATAGGCTAGGATATGTACAACAGATGTTAACTGAAGCGTTTTGTTTGAGAGATATAGATATGTACATATTTGAAAACATTCCTCGAAAACATTAAGAGAGCTCGCTTTCCGGGTGAAGGTGTCCTAGTACGTCGTAGAGTGTGCGATCATTCGCGCAGGCTTCCTTCTTTGCGCAGGCTTCCTCCTTCGCGCAGGCTGCTGTCATCGGTGGGATGTGATCTGCAGGCTGCTTGACCTTCGCGCAGGCTCGATGTAAATGGGGCCTCTGTGGCTGCTTTCTCTCCTGTCTTGAACCTCCGTTCCATCTGGTCCAACATCTGCTGTGTAAACTGCTGGGGTTGAAGGTCTGCAAAGACTACTGCTGCTGCTGCTGCACTGCGGACGACGCATCTGAGAGTACCGAGGCTTCTCCCAAGGACTGCTTCACATGTGACGAACTGCCATCTCTATCTGATGTCTGCGTTGATAAAACGTCTGACTGCGTTGAGATGACTGCTGCTGTTACTGTAGATGAAGACCTCGTCTTCTTCCTCACTGGCACTTCAGGGATGAGGGTGGGTGGCTGGCGTCATAAACTTCTACTTCATCTGCTGGGATGATCTCTGTAGTAAAGACCGCCGTCTTAAAGCTGCCCCATGTGAAGACTTCGCCGAGTCTTGTTAGCAGATGACTTCTTCTTCTGAGAAGGCGATGCCCTCGTCTTCTTCGACTCGCGATAATGAGGTTATAGTTGATGTGGGCCGACCTCTTCTTGGGCGGAGCTGCCATCAGACACAGTGATCTGCTCCGTAGACGTGAGCCGGTAAAACCACTAGAATGGTGAATGTCAGTAGGCAACAACAAAGCGGTTATCAGCGCCAATCATTTGGTTTTACACATGACTTGTGAAAGTCGTCTACTCCTGTCCTTAGGCACTTCTAAACCGCCCTGGAAAATACATAGTTATTAAATTCAAATTCAGATAAATGCTGACAAAGTTGACAGCAAAAGCTGGAAGAACATGGAGAAGTACAATTAGGACTTATTGTTTTCATCAAATGTAATCACGATGAAAACACATGTCAACAACGTGAACAAATACAGATAATTTTGACAAAATTTCAAACCATATTGTCGGGTATATCAATCCTAAAACCATACACAGCTAATTTAGTAGCAAGGCCTAAAATTAACAGTGTTCTCACAACCGTCCTCTCAAGGCTGAAGAAGAGAGAGTGAGGGGCATGTCTGATCATGTCACGCATTTTCCTGCCAAATGTTTCACTATCATTCGCAAGAAGAAAGAGACAAGCAATTAAGCATGAGTCAGGATAAGGAAAAATATTAGTTTTCAAGTTGAGATAGTATAATTCACCATCATAGGACAAACAGCCAATTAAACAAACTCTAAAAACCTCAGTCAACAAAGCTATTGATGCTCAGGTAACTTGATAACAGTACATTACAATTCATATTGATCCTTCTGACACCATATCTCCTCAGACCGGGAACCAGGACTCTGGATAATGTTTGAACCATAAGCATTTAGTCCTATGTTATCCTCCATATATGAGCAGCTAATAAACTGATAGGTACTCAGTACACTTCCTAGATCCAGCACTAGTTCTATGTAAAATGGTGTTTCAAGTAATTTCTACTTTTCTTCTGTTGGTGTGCTGCCCCAGATGTGTCAGGTTGACTCACAACAAGCAACAAGACACATCACTCTTCACATTAGTCACTGCAGCAAGTCTACATACAGTGTTGTTATACTTACAGGCATCGGTAATGGTTCCAATCATCCTCCGTGTCTTCATCCAATCCTGGAACCGTTCTTCATTCTCAAGAGTTTGTGTGTCAAGGTCAAGGCTCTCGAGCTCCTCCACGATCTACAAGGACAGAGTGAATTTGTCAAAAAGTAAAAAACCTTTGCATCAAATGAATAAAATTACAAATAGAATTTCTTATACATCTCGCCAATGTTTAACATATCAATACCTTCTGGTGTTGAAAAGAACCAAGTGAGGCCTAATATCAAGTTATAATACATGTCTAGAAATTAATACATAGAGAATCTCACCCGAGTGTCATTTGATATAAAATATATCACCACGAGTTGATAAAGTTACAAATATCCGAGACTTGCCGAGGATATTTTTACTTTTATTAACGAGTGTTGATATATTTGATATCAGAAGACATGGGGGTGAGATTCTATTTATAATCAAAAATCATTCTTCATTAGTTTTAAATGAAAAATGTACATCTCTGAACACAGTACTTCCATTAGACTTACAGTGCAGTGATGTCATAGCATTTGATGTCATCAAGTTCATGATGTCATAGCATTGTCAGGGCATTGTACAAAATCTACTGTTAAAATGATATCTCCAGGGAAATATCGTTTGATCTCACACAAGCAATATCTCCTGTGGAACACACTATTTCCTAGTCTATTTCCTATTTCCAAGATTCTAACTAAGTCAGGCCTTATATTCCATGTCTAGTACTGCCTACTTACTATCTCCCAGTCCGGCAGGTCTGTGACATCATAGTTCAGAACCATGGAGTACTTGCTGCAAAGGAGAAGCACACAACATCTTTAGTTAATCAGAACATTTCAAGCTGTAAAAGGATAGATTATCTCCCACAATGTGTCAGTCCCTGGACGTCTGGAGCATGTAACGCTGGAGGCTATAAATAGCTTGACAGACACACAGATGCCAAACCAAGAGTTTCATGAATCTTCTGCATCACATTCTGTTACCATGGTTACCCTAACCCTGAGAGTTTTGTAAGTATGTGGGTGAGTGAGTGAGTGTGCATGTGTGATTGTGAGCGAGTGAATGAGTGAGTGTGTGTGAGAGAGTGAGTATGTGGGTGAGTGAGTGAGTGTCCATGTGTGATTGTGAGTGAGTGAGTGAGAGAGTGTGAGTATGTTTCTATGTGGAGGAAGACTTACTTGTAATATGGGAGGACAATCTTCTTGTAAGTATGTTTCTATGTGGAGGAAGACTTACCTGTAATGTGGGAGGACAATCTTCTTGTAAGCATGTTTCTATGTGGAGGAAGACTTACCTGTAATGTGGGGGGACAATCGTCTTGTAAGCATGTTTCTATGTGGAGGAAGACTTACCTGTAATATGGGAGGACAATCTTCTTGTAAGCATGTTTCTATGTAGAGGAAGACTTACCTGTAATATGGGAGGACAATCTTCTTGTAAGTATGTTTCTATGTGGAGGAAGACTTACCTGTAATATGGGAGGACAATCTTCTTGTAAGTATGTTTCTATGTGGAGGAAGACTTACCTGTAATGTGGGAGGGGACAATCTTCTTGTAAGCATGTTTCTATGTGGAGGAAGACTTACCTGTAATGTGGGGGGACAATCTTCTTGTAAGCATGTTTCTATGTGGAGGAAGACTTACCTGTAATGTGGGAGGACAATCGTCTTGTAAGCATGTTTCTATGTGGAGGAAGACTTACCTGTAATATGGGAGGACAATCTTCTTGTAAGCATGTTTCTATGTGGAGGAAGACTTACCTGTAATGTGGGGGGACAATCTTCTTGTAAGCATGTTTCTATGTGGAGGAAGACTTACCTGTAATGTGGGAGGACAATCGTCTTGTAAGCATGTTTCTATGTGGAGGAAGACTTACCTGTAATATGGGAGGACAATCTTCTTGTAAGCATGTTTCTATGTAGAGGAAGACTTACCTGTAATATGGGAGGACAATCTTCTTGTAAGTATGTTTCTATGTGGAGGAAGACTTACCTGTAATATGGGAGGACAATCTTCTTGTAAGTATGTTTCTATGTGGAGGAAGACTTACCTGTAATATGGGAGGACAATCTTCTTGTAAGTATGTTTCTATGTGGAGGAAGACTTACCTGTAATGTGGGAGGACAATCTTCTTGTAAGCATGTTTCTATGTGGAGGAAGACTTACCTGTAATGTGGGAGGACAATCTTCTTGTAAGTATGTTTCTATGTGGAGGAAGACTTACCTGTAATGTGGGAGGACAATCTTCTTGTAAGCATGTTTCTATGTGGAGGAAGACTTACCTGTAATATGGGAGGACAATCTTCTTGTAAGCGTTCTGAACAGTCTGCAGGTACTTTTCTGTCACAACTTTCCCCTTCACCTCGGACGGCTGCAAAGACAAGGTGACCAACATGTGACCAACATGTGACTACCATTACTACTAATCATACATAACAGATGATTTAAAATCTTGTATCTCCAAGAGTTGATGTAAGTATATAAGTTTTGTGTTTATCATGTTTATGGATTTACATGTATAACTGAGTTTTCACACTGGGTGAAGATGGACAAGAAATGGGCATTGAATAAATGCTACCCATAGTGGGGGAGATGTGTGGCTTTTAAAAGGCATAATATGAAGTTAGGGATTGGTGTAGAAAGTAAAACTGAATTTGGGCTCAATGGCTTTCTGAAAATGTTTTGTTATATTGAATTCCCAAATTTAAGTTAACAAGTCTCTGCTTAACACAGAGCATACTGGTTTACAGATGTTTACATGGTGCTGAAGATACAAAACCAGCCCAAGTTCAGATTTGTAGTCATCACACAAGCATGTTGGACAAAGGGACATAACTCAACATTACTGTCCCCGTTAACTGTGTCAACTGTGTCGTGTACATACCTGCCCACGTTTGTTGATGCGTTGTTGGACCTCACTGACCGGAGCGTCCAGGTACAGCACTAGATGTGGTTTCCATAGTTCACATATCGTGTTGTCTCGCCACTGCTGATAGTATCTGTAGCCTGGACACACATGCATAAAACCTGGCTGACAATGGGTGAGTGAAGACATCCCTCGTCTTGTCAACATACAACTGTATGACACATTATATACACAATGCTATTTAGAAAGTGGTCACACATGTTATGTTTGTGATTATACTTTCTCAGTAAAGTACAGATTCCAGTACATTTGACCACTTTCGAAATGTCATTGTGTACTCACAGCTTTCAACCGTGGGAACCACACAGATTTCACTTGTTAGAGAAGTACATAAAGTCTGTTATTTAGACTACCAGTCGTCCAACTTCCACTTCTGTTGAAACCACTGTGGCAGAGTGGGTTAGATGGCTAACTTTGTGTGCTGGCGCACACCCCGGCGCAGTGATGACTTAGCATAACATCACTGCCACAGGCTAATTTGCATATTACGTGACTGGACTTTTCTCTTGTTTGTAAACAAACACGCATATTCATAATAAGTAGAGACTGGCCTTCCGTAAGCTTTTCGGCTCGCTCTTCACAATGTATTACATTGTTACATGTATATTCTTCCACAACTGCGACAGTAAGATTTATGACAGTACATATTTAGATATCAAACTGGCTGCATCGTTTGCTCTCTGTTGGCTTCAAGGACAGCACGGGGAGCCGTACAACCTATGTAAACAAAGGATCGCTACGCAAATCGATATAGTGTTACATGTTTTAGGATATTTTCTCAGTGAAAGTAAACTATTCTATCAAAGATGTTTAATTAGATGTGTAGACTCGTCAAAAATAAAAGAGTTAATAATTATGTAGATTATATTGAATGGACGGTGCAAGATGTGACGAATCGTCACATCTTTCTGGCCTGTGGCAGAGGTACTATGCTGGCTTGCTGCAAGGGTAGGAGAGTGGTGCTGGCGATTAGGTGCCTGACTCTGAGAGTGTGGGTTCAAATCCTGGATGGGACTCAACCTAAAATAAGTACTAGAATCTGTACTTCTCTGAGAAAGTGTAATCCCAAATATAACATGTTGCATTACATATTGTTTAATTCCAAATGCATGCTTGTTTACTGATGGAACTATTTTCCATGGTAAATTCTGAAAACTCTCAACATCACTGGGACTATTCAGTAACACTGCATGGAATGATGCTGGATTGTGGAGAGGAATCTATGCACACTTGATGACCAAGCGCAAATGTCAGAGAGAAGTGTTTCACATGTGTATTTTGCAACAAAGGTTTGCAAATTACATTATAACATTTTGTGGTGTCTCTGTAAGCTATTTGGTGTTGATATTCAGAGGTGGATTGTTGCATGTCAAAACATTACATTAATATAAAGAGCACGAAGGTCGATTTCTGTGATTTAAGACTTTGTATAAGTAATCATTTTAATTCTATTTCAGCTTTTAGTGTTCTGAAGGATGATGACTTGTTCTGTTTTATAGAAAGTGCAAGAAGTTGTCAGTCTGGCTGTATCTAGAGTTGTGTTTACTGCATAAATCTGAGTCACAGGGCTGGTCTATTTTAGATTTCAAGGGTATCAAGTTTAGATAAGTTGGTCTACTTTTATGTCAATTGTCTTCAGTATCGTAACAATAGACTTAGTCAAGCTTCTCATTTGATCGGCCCTATTTCAAACCTACATGTCATCCGCCATGATTCCAGTTAGTTGAACCACCATACCATATGAGTACATGTTTCAGATGCTCAATAAATACAACATGGCATTGTCAGCCGTGTCTCGCTCACCATTTGCTGTCATGTAGCCAAGTTTCCTCAATGTGTCTGCAAACACAAGGTCACTCCATGGTCCCCTCTCAATAACCACGCCTTGACCTGGAACAATAGAACTACTTCTTGAAGCTTTCATTGTTGGACATGTTCCTGCACAGCAACACCACCATATCACCCTAAATTTTAACGATGAGGAAACTTTTCTTTGAATGGCATTTTTAGAAGAAGGATATGTCTTACAGTATGTTCAGATACAATTAATTAAAGTAACATTTTAAAACTCATCCCCCCAAGGGGGGAGGGTGGGACGGGGAGAGAGAGAGAGGATTACGGGCGAAAGTCTTTCCCCTCGTACACCCCCAGTTCTACTCCTCTGTCAAACATCCAGCATCAACTGCAGCCATTCCCAACAGCAGGAGTCTCCTTATTCTAATCATGATAAAAAGGCGGCACAAGAACATCGAGGACCACCCGATCCTATTCGTAGCCTCTTATGCCAAACAAGGGTTTCTGAAGGCCATTTGTGACCCAGATTCAAAAGTGAGACTGATTTTGGTGAGACTTGCACCCTCAAGAACATACAAATAATATGAAACAATCTCCGAAGAAGTCCAAGATAGGAGATGTGAATTGTAAGATGCTTGTCAAACAAAACACCATGAACTAGCAATCATGAAGGGTTTGATCCCTGAGAGAATGATAACTTGTCCAAGTGTATGTGTGATATGCACTAATCTACTGAAAATATTTACCTTCCTCTAATGTTTGCCATATATTTGGACCCTTCCCATGACCTGTTCCAAATTTGTGTATTATTTATTATAACCCTCCACAAGCTTGACTAGTGACTGGTATTTCATCTAGTGACCTTTATTTGATTCCCTCCTGTAATAAATAACCAGTCCCTAAAGGGACTGCTTGTGACAAGCAAATGGATCTTGGGACCAATTCAAACATCAAATCGCCATGACTATTGTGTACGTAACTCTCATCATCACAGAGGATGCTTGACTGGAATCCATGGTCTACACAGTGTTGGGGGTTCTGCTATAGCACATATAGTGATGCATGAGATCCGACTGATAAACTGCAGTTTTGCCCCAGTGAGAAACAGCATCCTTAACAACTACTTTGAAATTTATAGAATCATGACTAGTGTGTCTTGTAAACTTAAGTTGACATGGGCCATGGCCCGTATTTACCAGTATTGAGCAAGTGCTCGAGAGCATTGACATAGTTGAGAAATCGATGTCTGTAGATCGCCAGCTGGGTTCTGCCAATAGTTTTCAGTGTAGTTGGGTGTACGTTCTGCATGTGGAACGTTGCTATATCCAGACTCCGGGCTCCGGGTGGCAGGCGCTCGTTCAGGTCTCGGTAATCCACCCCTGAATCGGACAAATATATCCTGCTGTCGAGGGGATCTGGGAAATATTTCATGTCGAATTCGGTTGCAAGTTTTTCTGCAAACTCCGACTTTCCAGTCGCTACATTTCCATCAACAACGATCACCTTCGAATTGTCATTAAATCGCTTCCTGGTGTGATCAATAAACTGCCAGTACTGATTATATCGCCTGGTTTCATATGGCCAAGGCTTCGCCCGCTGAATTTCGTTTCCATGACTTTGAGAAGACGTCAAGTTTGCAACTTGCACTGCACCAGCCCCGACTGCGGATTGAGCTTTACTGGGGTCTAACAGCCTCGCTCCATTATAACCTGGTCGAAAATTTAAAATTAATTTCTGGAAACGAAATGCCATGCTGGGTGATCTCTAAATGAATCTTCTCCACGATAAATTACTGTGGTATCATTTGGCCCTTCTTGTTTCGGTGAGGTAAAGTCACCTCGGCGAAAGGAAGGAAGTTGGTAGTGCGCAGGTGCGGATACAAATTCCTCACCGCGATAGTCCATTAAATGAAGAACTCACCATGCAATGCGTGGGTAACGAAGGTGTCCCGCGCTGCAATGGAGCTTGATGCAGCGATACTCGCAAGGGGCGCAATTCTACCAGTAAACCGAACTTTGCATATTTTACGTGCGCTTTGATCTGTAGATACAAGCTAATCGTTATGAACACACAATGCCATTTAGAATGTGGTAAAATGTAACACATATTATATTTGGGATTACACTTTCTCAGTTAAGTACAGATTCTAGACTTTTGTTGGGTTGAGTCCCATCCGGGATTCGAACCCACACCCTCGGAGTCAGGCACCAAATCGCCAGCACACAAAGTAAGCGTTACTCTGTGTGGCGGCGATTTTGTGCCTGACACTTTACTGAGAAAGTGTAATCCCAGATATAACATGTGTTAAGATATGCGTTGGCAACATCGAATGGGGAGCCGATTCTTCGAAACAAATAAAGCATAATTGAAACACCTATCCAGGCCTTCGTAATTCCCCCGTTCATCTGCTTACTTACCTACCTACAGAACCACCCACCCACCCACTTACTGTAGTTCTAATACGTTGTCAAAAAATAATTAATATGACGTTATTTCATGTAGGCACATAAAAAAGCTATTTGTGCTTTTCATACGTTTTATTTCTTCGAATTGCCCATTTGACCTTGGACTTTGCCCTTTTGACGAGACAGCCTGTGGACCAATTGACCCGTCATCTTTCGAATCGTTCCTTATTTGCCCTCGGCAAGCATGGATGTTGAGAGTCAAAAGATTGCCTTTGTTACTGAGAGTTTGATGAGGCAAACATTCTAAAACCAATAGGTTAGTCATTGTTGAATGTTTCTATCCGACCTACTTGACTTTCTTGTAATGAAATCACAATGACAAACATCATCTACTGCATGTCTATATCGGTTTATAAGAGAAATATATGTGTTGTGTAAACAACAGCCTGTGATGGGCAGTCTGGCACTGGCGATCTCAGACATTTAAGATGGTCGGAAATGGTTCACGGCGAAATATTGTGACATGCGGCTAATCCTTGCGACTTTAGAACTGCTCATACGGAGGCGCCCTCTATACATGCCCAGCATGCCCTGATGTAAATAGAAAATAGATATTATATATCTTATGTGTTTTTTCTCTTTTATGGTGCCGTTCCACTAACCGATCTTAGCCCTATGCCAATCGTAAACCCCTAAAATCCCAATCTTAGCGTGACGTTACGATCGGCATACCGTTCCACTAACCAATCTTACCTAAGTCAATCGTAAAGTTAAGATTCAAAGTCTAAGTTGCTCATGACCAACTTAGGATAGCTAAAATCAATCGTAGAGAAACCAAAATGGTGGCTTTCCTATTCTATGTGAAAAATAAGAGCGAGCATTTCACCGTGAGCGTCCCCTAAAATCCCCCATGAAATGAATTTGTATATTTCTTTGATGTCAACAAACACTGCACTGAAGCCTTACAAATGTCAGGCCAGTCTGACCACTGTCGTCATGGGAACACAACCGAGCGAGTCGGTGTAACACATTTGTACAACAATATTGCAACGTCATGGTTAAGAATAGGGACAGCCGTGAAGTGAACAATGTTCTAAAACAAAAAGATACAAATATGTTTGATTTCACGTGCGCTTATTTGGTGGGGAATATTCTAAAGGCAGGCCGCATGTTATTCAAGACCACTGACAGATTCTACATACGTTATAGAGGATGCATCGTCACGCCTTGTTTATTCTGATTGACAAGGTCCAGGCACATATTAAAAGCTCTGACACAATTGACATTTTAAGTCCAGACTTAAAACCTGTTCTCAGTATATTACTTATAATCTCGGCTGTAAATACTCTCGTGTAAATTATCTGTACATAGGGCTTTGAGCATGCCCCAGGATGTGGAATAGGCGTACTATAAATATGCATGTATAATTATTATATTATGCCTGATACCCAGCGTTCACACGCACTTGCACCTGAAACCAAGGTGCTCACTACCCTAATATTTTGCTCTAGGTTTTTTCTCCACGTTTACACTTGGTTGGAAAATACCCATGAAGGCCCGGATTAGAATATTGAACTTAAATAACCCATGCTTGTCTTTAGAGGCCACTAAAGGGATCGGGTGGTCAGGCTCGCTGACTTGGTTGACACATGGCATCGGTTCCCAACTGCGCAGATCGATGCTCATGCTGTTGATCACTGGATTGTCTGGTCCAGACTCGATTAGTTAGAGCTAAGATACATAGCGTTCACTAGTTAACATGAACGCTCATGTTTGTGAACGCTATGCATCTTAGCTAGATTATTTACAGACCGCCGCGATATAGCTTGACGATTGCTGAGTGCGGCGTAAATCTAAACTCACTCACTCACTCAGTTGGTTCGTAAACTACTTCCATCATTTGCTAGTCTATGCAAAGGGAGATAACTCGTGCCTCGCATTCCTCTATCTCTCGCACGAAAGAGTCTCAATCTAAGCTTGGATCGGATCGTAAGATTGGGACCGGCTACGATCGGCCTAAGATCGGTTAGTGGAACGGGTGTAACTTTTAGCTAAGACGATTGTAAAATTGGCGTAACTTGCTAAGATTGATCTTAGTTAAGATCGGTTAGTGGAACGGCGCCCGATACCCATGGTGGTGCCGTAGAGTCCATGGAACCTTAGAAACTGGAGGCGCGTCTGGTTCAGTGATGAATCACGATTTCTTCTTCACGGGCGACAAGGAAGACAGCGCCTTTACTCTCGGAGAATATTTGCCCATAATTCCATTAGACAGATCGACAGACTGGTTGGAGAGAGTCTCATGGTGTGGGGTGGGATATCAAGCACACACAGATCTTCCATCTCACCGATGAAGAAGAAATCGTGACTCATCACTGAACCAGACTCACCACCAGTTTCCTAAGGTTCCATGGACTCTACGGCACCATGGCGACGGTCTGTAAATAATAGAGTCTGCACCAAACAACCCAGTGATCAACATCATGAGCATCGACCTAAGCAATGGGGATATGATGACATGTGTCAACCAAGTCAGCGAGCCTGACCACCCGATCCAGTTAGTCGCCTCGAGTTGCGACAAGCGTGGGTTCTAACCCGGTCGTCATAGTGCGCGAATACTTTAACCACTGTGATCACCCACAACATCAGTGTATGGAGCTTGGGAAACAGTTCTCCCAGATTGTATCACCTATTTCCAGCACGGCTCCCTTGGGGGCTGCATAAATCGCCTTACACGCGCATGCCGCGCGTCGTTGGATAGCTGTGTCCTGTGGCTACACGGAGAATGTTTCCGTTTGTTTTACGCAACTTAATAGCCGAGCAATTAAGGTTTCTGTGATTTTAAGCTGTGCGTTTTTTCTTCCACGTAGGCCCCGGTGGAAGAAATTTGTTCCACCAGCCTCCGGTGGAAGTCGCCTGCGCCATGGCATTTTTCAAGCCTTTTACTTTGTCATATCTATGCATGCTATACGTTCTTGGAAACCTTGGGAAACGCTCTCTCCAAATATACAAACGTGAATATTGTGCTGCCCCCTGGTAACCAGTCCAGATTGAAACTCCGACGTGATGTTTTGTGTAATTTTACTGAAGTTCAATTCTTCTGTGATATAGCAATTTTCGCCAACACACGCGCAGTCGTGATATAACGGCTACTATTCTTACAGATCACCTCAGAATATACATTTCTATAAGCGCGTTTGAAAGCCTATTAAGGCGTGTTTTAGACAATGTATAATACGCACATGTTGCACATTCAGTGGTGGAGCTATATAAGTGTTAATGTGCGAACTGCAAAATATATGGGACGTGATATAGATTGGCGGAATTTAGATGAATCTGTACACCGGCTATACCGGCGGTGTTAATATTTACATATATAGTGCATTTGCAAGATTATTCATGGGGATTCTGGGAATATGTAATATGTTGTTGTGCAACATTAGATAGTTGAGCAATACAGGAATGAACATGCTTGACAGAATTAAAAAGTACAAGCGTTTGGAATCTAACCATAACAGCAATACCTGTGGTGTTATTATTTATAATGTTAGTGTATCGGAAAGCCCTTGAAAATGCGGTTCTGCCAAGGTATAATGTGCATTCGAGTCACACCTGATAGTCGGGCTCTGCGCGCAGTTATATTTTGCTGATACCGGATCAAATCTATGATCTGGCGTGCATGCTCCGTCGGCCCGTCGGCGTTATGACAGCTATACTTTATCACAAAAGCCGCCTCTATTGTCACTTAATTGGCTTTATATCACACTCTATATATCACATCTACGTATCATCATTGTTTTATAACGTCTGTTTGACCTGTCCTCATGGATTCGTTGTATATACATGCACATCTCTAGCTTCCTGTAAATCTAATTATCACTTCATTAGCTGTATATCACTCTGCTGTATTTACTGTTTAGTCTGAGGCGTAGCAGGTAATTTCCGGAGATGTACCACTAATCAGCAAATTTAATTTCGTCACCGTGAAGATATCCTTCTTTGATAAGCAGCTTTGTGATTTTATAATCTTGTCGCCCGACTGATTTCGGCCATGTGCATAGAATGCTTGGTTTTCATTGGGATGGGCAATTCACACCTTTGGCGTGCCCTTGCCCCTCAAATGGACGTCATGCATAGAATGGAGATGGGCAATTCACAATTTCCTCCTCTCCCTTAAAACATCCGACTTGGTCACATGACAGTGACCTTCATCTAAACCATTCCATTGGCTATCTGGCGGGGACGTGGTAATATAAGTGAATGCTCACAATATCATCATCACAGACCGAGTGTCATAGTGGACGAATACCAGTCGGCGTTGACGATCCCTATTGGCAAGTGAACTTTACTTTTTATTACCTTTTGCTTGTTTTAATAAGTCATCTACGCTGCTCAATATATCAAACTGATACATAGCATAAATAGGGTTCTTAAAATATCCAAGTACAAAACTGTGACATCAAGGCCCTTTC